TTTCCAGAACCTTAGAGTGCAACTCCCATCAAAAGTTATTGCCCCCTCTGTCATAGTTCTTACCATTAGGAGGAGTTTTTGAACAGACTGACTCACAGATGGAGGGACAGAGAGATGGAAATTTCTGCTTTTACCAAAAGAAAATGTTTCCCTTTTCATTAACTGGCATTACCATTTAGGTATTTACACAATGCTGTAAAAGCAGAGTTAGATCTCAACTGAGATAGCATCAGACTTCACAATGAATGCTGGAACTCAACTCAGAACCTGATTACTTACAAAGGAACTAACAAAAGTTTTGCTGTTGTTGCTCAAAGGGTTTTTATCATGATACTTTCTGTTTTCAGGTAAATTTTACAGCATAGGAGATCAGAGGGGACATGGAGAAGATCATTGTCAATTTGTGGACTCATTTTTAGATGGAAGGACAGGGCAGCAAGTTTCTTCAGACCAGCTACCCATGGAAGATGGTAAGTTCTGAAGAGCATTGTTGCAATAAAACTTTCAAAATCTCTCCTGCTAATGGCTTAATGGCCAACACCAGTCCGAGTTAGTGCCAAAGTTAGTTCTCTGCCCAGTAGATCCAAACTATCCTTCATGCTTGACAAGATTCTACTCCAACTCAGAACTCAAAACCATTGAGGACTAGCCAAGCCTAAAGATCTTACGCAACCTGGGAGTCAGATGACTTTCAACCCTTTATCATGGAAAGGAAAGCTCTTTGCCCTAGACGGACAGATGCATTATCTGAGCTTTATACAAATATTATAAACTGGCATTGTCAAGTCAGTAATAAGCTCTGAAATGCCAGATACCAGTACCTGCTAAGCTTTCAAACATGACAAAGAGAATTAATGTTTGCTTTCAAGCAGAGTTTTAACAGTTCATACCTCAGCTGCTAAATCTTCAGCAAGATCATATTTACAGAAGTTTTCACAAGACAAGTTCAGTGTGCATTTCACTTGAAGTTGCTATGTTAAAGCTAACTGAAATTTTTCCCAATGTTAACATAACTACAGGAGTCACTTACTGGCTAGTCTTTTCCAAAAGTCAATTTCAGCAGATGTTCCAGCGTACCCAGGAAATAGTTGGTGACTTGTAGTAGACAGTGAGGCAGGCTTTGGACAACCGTCCCCTCTTTTTGTGTACTAAAGTGGAAGCAGCATTTATTCAGGGACACACGTCTGGTCTGCACTTAACGTGTACATCAGTCAGTGACATGTAACAATGTGCATGTACTTCCTTGCCAATCATTTCCCTAATTAGGAAACCAGAAACTTGCCCACAGGTGGTCAGTCCCACCTCTAATTTTTGCTTAGCTAGTTGGGTTCCGTCCCCTCCACCCCAATTAAATTATGGAGTTTTTCTCCCTGAAGTACAGTAGGGGTAAGAAACACAGGCTGCAACTTTTTCCAGCATAGCAAACCCTGGATGTCACTGTATGTTGTGAGGGCTTCATAGATCCAAAAGGCGGAAGGTATAAGACTTTCCCCTCATCTTCCACTGACACCAGGGAGAGAGAATGCTCCACTTCCTGCCCACTCTCCATGTGTGTTCTGGATAGGGAGCGCTCCAGAGAAGGCACCCTCAACCTTCTCAGGTATGGCTACAGCTACACTACGAACTTTTTCAGGAAGAGGGAATGCAAATTGAGTGCTCATTTGCATATTCTCTCCTGATCGTTTTTGCACAAGATCCCTTCTTCCTCAATAAGTCCAAATTAGTGTTAGTACTAATAAAAAAGTAAAATAGAATCCAATTAGAGTTAGTACTCAATGAGGAAGTTTTTTTTCACAGAAAGGTGCTGTTTACACAGCGCTTTTTTGTGCAAAAACTTATTCCGCAAAAAGGATCAGAAGAGAATATGCAAATGAGTGCTCCATTTGCATTTCCTCTTCCAGAAAAAGTTTATAGTGTAGCTGTAGCCTTTGAGAAGGATTGTTTCCCCTTCCTCTGCCCCAGCTTGTCCAGAATGGATTGTTGTGTAGCAAAGGGAGGACAGTGTCCAGCAGCACCCAATGTCTTGAAATTCAGTAAACAGTACTCTGGCATTTGGAAAGGTGTGAATGTAACCCCTGAGCTTCTGAAATACACCCTGTGAAAGGTAGTCTTTTTCTCCCCCCTCCCCCACTAAATCTTTCCTCATTGTTTATTAGGCTTTTTCAGAGCAGTTCGTCAGGAACCTGTCAAGTTTGGAAAAATAGGTGGTTCGACCCATATTAACTATGTCCATTGGTATGAGTGTGGAACGTCAATACCTGGTAAATGGTAGTTGCTATATGAACTCGAAAATGAACAAAGGCCTACCACTACCATGCCCTTCTCCCAAACAAGTTCAGCGATGGAAACATTTATGGTCTTCCTGTCTTCCATGTTTAGTCATGTATAAAGTTTATAAACTTACGACAATACTGCATTAACTGTGTTTAATAGCATAGGCTGCTTACTATAGTTACTCCATTTTTACCAGAAAGCACAAGGAAAAGGATAAGGTCTGGGGAAGCTGGCTCCCTATATTCTGGCTAATAAGGTACAGTTTATATGGTATTTTAAAAGATACAATTTGTATATTATTTATCACATTGTTGTAATAAATGTTTTGAGGGAGAGTAATGGCTAAGTTGATCAAGAAACTGCAGTATACATTTAACTTTAGATATTCACTCTGTTATTGAAGTAGTGTCATATGCTGCTTATCAAGGTAATTCTGTAAGTCTCCAATTTCTCCATACACTTAAATTATTAAATTAGAATGTTCTGGGACTGACTTCTGTACTTTATAAATACCCAGATTGAAGAGCTTTTCCCCTTGTATCTAAACAATTTGTGTTCTTGCCAAAATTAAAAGAAAACGTGTTATATTTCAATGCTTTAGTGCACCAAGAAAGCAATTGTAAGCTTTTAAAGAAATGCAAGCATAGTTTCTTGGTGACAGTCAGACTTGCACATCCATATTAAAATTGCCTGTTCACATGGTTAAAATTAGTCTATCCCTGTAAATACAGTTGCTACTTAAACAGTATCCAGTTAGCATTAGTACTCTTCCATGTTGAGTTGATGGATGGTGTTTTTACTTAATCAGGCTTTTCAAGACTGCCTGAGCAACAGAAGTCAAATCTGCACCTCTTGCAGTGGGTTTTCTGAAATTTTGATAAACTACTTTGCAGGCCAAATGTATATAGCACCACAGAATTTAGAGTAAGATAATGAGGTGTGGGAGGATATGCTCAAAATACCAGTTTATTTAACAATCAAGTGTGGGAGGATATGCTCAAAATACCAGTTTATTTAACAATCAAGTTTCCTCTATTTCAAAATTGTTAGCATGGGAAAAGCAGTTAGTTCTGAATGTGAGTTGTTCCATTAAAAACCTGTCCCCTCTCTACAGACTAGATTCTGTACTTCCCTGAACATTTATGAACTAAAGAGATTTTTTTGAGCAGGGTGTTTATTCATTGTATTAGAAAAGGTATGAACAGGAACACCAAATAAATGTCATTTGTAGAAAATGCCTTAAAGTACATTGCAGGTACACTGTACTCGAATAAAATATTTTTTAACCATGTCAAGTTTTTGTATATTGGTTGGCTTTCCACTTTGGCGCTACCTTTCACTTACCATTGTGTGTCTCAGAAGACTGCCTGTTCAGTATGTTATATATGATCATAAAAGGATACATTACAACCTCCCCTACCAAAGTGGAAGATGAGAATATTTGTAAACAGGTTTGCACAGCTCTTTACACTGTTTTTCCTTGTAACTGAAGGTTTTGTTACAGGTACTGATTTAGGTTTTCTGGCTGGCAAAAAAAGTTTGTAGCACATTTTTTTAAATTCCTTGTTTGGCTGGGAAACATTAAACACCAAGAAATTCCTATCAAGTCAAAGCTTCCACTGAATGATGGATTAAAGCCACTGGGTATGTGCCTTAATGCAGTGTATTTACTCAATGTGAGCTGTACTAATGCAACAAAAAACATGATTTGGTAGTCTAACAAAAGCATCCAATGATAATAGTCCTGAATACATCATTAAATCCCAATCTGCATTTGTAATGTTTAACCCATGTGTGTGTGTGCTAGTTATATATACTTAGACTCTGAACTAAAACCTGACAGGTATACATTATATACAAACAATGTGCTTGTGTCATCTCATCAAGAGTGCTTAATAATTAAAAAACAAGTACTGAACTCAATATTTTTATTAGCATTCGGTGTGAATGTTACAATTTATACATAATACCTAGTTTTAATTCCAGAATGGGTCTAATTTAGTACATCATGGTATTAGTAAAAACAAGCCAGATAAAGTGGGCTAAATTTCCAACTATCATTTTAATTTCCTTCAGACAGGTCAAGCTAGAATGTCAATCACCTTACAAACATTTAGGAAGTGTTTCCAAAACCCGAAAATCTAAGTAGGAAGCTGATATAGTTTAAAGCAGGAAATAAGAATCACTTGGTCTTTTGTTCCAGCAACAGTGAAAGAATGCTCAGCCTTATCATTTTGGAACATCAATACCAATTTTAAATATTGGACTCTGTTGGGATGTAGTAGTTAATAGCTGCTTGTATTTACCTGTGTCATTTAGCAGCTGAGCTTCCTTATCGGTAGCCAGGTCCTGGCTGAGTATAGCCCTGACCAAAGGGAGGACGGTTGCGTGCATAAGGGTTAGGCCCACTTGGAGGGGGAGTCATAGTACTTCCAGGAGGTGGCGTAAAACCTGGCCTGGGCTGATACGTGCCCGCCTGGCTTGGAGCCATTCCAGCTTGAGAAGCAGGGGTCACATTATAATTAGCAGGCTGGGAGGCTTGTGTAGTATAGTTCTGTGGTGGGTAGGCGCTTGCCTGGTACTGCTGAGGAGGCTGAGCAGGCAGTTGCTGAGCAGGAAAACCAGGAGCTGGAGCCTGTGATGCCTGCTGACTGTATCCTTGAAATTGCTGTCCCTGTGGAGGAGCAGCCTGCTGGCTATAGCCTGCTAGAAGACAAAAACAACAAAGCAACAGATTTAGTAAATAGAGACTTAAGTGATAGCTAATAAGCACAACCAACAATCCATAGGTCTAATATGCACCAGACAGTGTACACAGCTGGATGATATGAACTGCAGTTTTTCTTGTCCTTCACACTCACATGAACTGGCTTTAGTGTGCTAAAATGGAACATTTTCTAGTAACAGGAAAAATTTTAATTCAGAGCAAAATACAGCTTTTGCATTGAGGCTGAAAAATAACTGATTCTGTTCTAGCCTGATAATTACCACCAGGGTTTCTATTTGAGAAACAAGGAGGAAATGGAATATTGACGCTTCATTTTTCCCTTATGAAGGGATGGAAAGGTCTCAAATGTACACTGAAAAAGGAAGTTTCATTTGGGACAGGAGCTTTAACTTTCTTTCACTAAGCAGATCATAAGTCAATTCAGTTCAAGTATTCTGCACTGACAGCTCAATCATGGTCAACTGTTTTGTTTAGTTCACAACTTTTAGTATTTATTAGTCAGCGATATAATTCAAGGATTACATCACTAAACAAATGTGAAAACTTTGCAGAACAGCACTTTAGGTTATAGCTGCTGCTGGCATCAGTTTAACGTGTCTCAAATGTGATTTGTTTGTGTAAAAGCAGCTTCGAAGGTAATTTCTCCAGAGATATAAACAACAAAAATCCTGATAGCTACTTTTCTATCAAGAAACACACCTGCAGCTACTTGCAATGAAACCTCTCCATTGACTGGAATCCTGTCAGCATTAAACACCAAATACATAAGAAAAATTAAAAACACACAGCCCTGAAGATAGAAAATAAGGACTGAAGAATGCATTGAAGTAAACTTTGAACTCACCTTGAGATTAGCCTAAAAATTTACTCATGAAATAAACCTCTCAAAAGTTCCATTTTCATTTGCATGCCCTAAAGTCAGCACTATGCTAAGCCCACCTGCCAGAAGAGGAGAGTGGAAACTATAATCCCCTGTTAGGGGAACTGCTGCTAGAAAGGAAGCAGAAGGAATTCCAAATCCCTTTTGAAGGTGGTGAGGGTCAAGGAATGAAAACTACAAAGGGAAAGTATAGATCTACCTGGTCTCCCATTTGTAAAGAGTTTTCATTACAAATTAATCCAAGCATAAAGATAATTTTCTTTCGAAAAATAGTGTGTTGTAATTTGAGGTTTCCAGATTTGTAGTTTCACTTTCAGAAAACTGACATATGAGAAATTAGAACTCCCACAATATGCCAAACCTTCATACAAAGTCTTCCAGCAGAATACTAAGTCTGCTATGGTATTCCTATTAGGAATGAGTGAAATTAAAAGAACAATTCAAATCTCAAGACAGACCTTCCTACTTCTATTGAAATTAGGTTTCAGGTGGTCTGACACCGTCTTCAAATTATGACACTTACAGCAGGGAGTCTGCATAGAGCATCAGCCACAGCTTAGAGTGCTGAGAGGAGGAAAAAGGACTGAACAACTACGTTTGAAGTTTCCAGGGCTTTTACCCAAATGAAGTTTCAAAGCTTAGCTTAATCAGTTATGCAAAGGGTAAACAGTCTATCTTAAAAACATATTAAACTCTTCACAATCATTCACTTAGCTAGACAAGTTATTGAAGGAGCAATAGCTTCATACATATAAAGAATTCTGTGCCTTGTGTACTGTGTTCAGCAAAGATCTGCTGCTTGTTTTGTTTTGATTTTTTGAGTGAAAAGATTTGGTGTGTGTGATTCAACACTAAGGACATCAACACTGTGAATGTACATCGTACCAACTTCAGTTTAAAATTGGCAGATGTTCATATTTGATATGTCTACTGACCTTATGAAACTTTTCATAGGGTTACAGGATCAGAGCAGTATTAAAGACCTTTATTAATTTATTACTATCACAGTAACTAAATAGCTAAATAAACTGATCACTAGGATCAATTGTTAGTAATTCAAAGTTCCCTTTTCCCATGTCTTTGAAATGAAAGTAAACCTAATATTCTTTTGTTTTGGAGCTGTAGAAGCCTAGCTTTTCACCCCCCTCGGTCATTTAGTACAATGTCACAATGAGAAGTTTCATATATTCTGCTGAGAGCTATGGAAAATGAAACAGCTAAGTTTAAATACTATTGTTTTCTACAATTTAAAAATCAATCCCAGAAACTAGTTTCTTCTGGGTGATAATTTACACGTGGTTTGAACACTGGATTGTAGACTTTCTTCTGTATTTACCTACCGTATTTTCCGGCGTATAGGGCGACTGGGCGTATAAGATGACCCCCTATCTTTTTAATTAAAAGATAGGGTTTCATCTTATACCCCAGCGCCCCTCCGCCTCCTTTGCTCCCGGTGTCCCTGGTCTGCTGGAGATGGTCCCCAGCAGACCAGAGGCACCGGGAGCAAAGCCGCCAGGAGCGCCTGGGATGCCCCGCCGCCGGCTTCCCCCGAGGCTTTCAAAGCCGCGGAGGGGCTCCGGCGGGCGGGCAGCCCATGCGCGCCTGGGATGCCCCGCCGCCGGCTTCCCCCGAGGCTTTCAAAGCCGCGGAGGGGCTCCGGCGGGCGGGCAGCCCATGCGCGCCTGGGATGCCCCGCCGCCGGCTTCCCCCGAGGCTTTCAAAGCCGCGGAGGGGCTCCGGCGGGCGGGCAGCCCATGCGCGCCTGGGATGCCCCGCCGCCGGCTTCCCCCGAGGCTTTCAAAGCCGCGGAGGGGCTCCGGCGGCGGGGCATCCGGCGTACAAGACGACCCCCGATTTTTGGGGGATGTTTTTTAACTTCAGAGGTCGTCTTGTACGCCGGAATATACGGTAATCTAATGGAAAAGCCTCAGGTTGGATACTATATTTGATTTGTAAGGTACTGAAAAGTAGAGACATTTCCTTTTACATTTTATTGGGTTGGGCGGCATCACTTGCTAGAATGGAAGGCTTCAAGCCCCTCACCCACACAGAATTAAATATTGCCTTTAGACAGCTTAACTCCTTATGATTTTCTTTCTATTTGTAACAAGGCATTTTGTTGGATAACTATGAAAAGTCCTCTAGTTAAGAATAGAGTAGCACCAAATAATAAGTTACACATCAGCATAAACTTTACATTTCTACAATTATTGCTAGAACAGAAATACTGACAAATTAAGGGCAAAGTGAAGGCTGCTGAATGCCCTCAAATTCCACAAAAGTCAAGAGAAGTTAACAATCCTCAGCACCATGCCTTGCCACCTAAACGCAGAAGAACTGGAATTGATATTTTTGCACTAAGAACAATTTAAAGATCATATTTGGCAGCTACACAGCAATTTGAGAACAGCAGCAACTGCTTACCTGGATACTGCATCCCATATTGCTGCTGAGGCTGAACCTGTGGCTGCTGAGCAGGATAACTGCCCTGTTGGTACTGTTGATACATCTGGCCTAGGAATTAAACACACACTTTTTTTTTAGTAAAGAAACACAGAACCTGAGACCCAATATCTGATGTCAAATTAAACTTTTAAAAGTCAAGATCCTAGTGTGGCCATATAATTACTGAAGCTATATAAACATTCCACTATGATCAGTCTGAAAGCAAAGCGTACTGAATACAAAGTTAAGTGTAGCACAGCACAAATGAAAAAAAATATAAGCATTCTATAGTTTAACAGCCCTGCATTTGTTATAGATTTTCTGAAATTCAGAGGCAGCTGTTTCATTTTACTTGACACTAAAACGTGGCATATTGCATTCTATTTGTATAGCACCTATCAGCCTGAAAAATCCTGAAGTGATTTACAAACTTATGATCTATTGCCACAAGATTCACTTTACCTACCACTAAAATGCTAGTACATTTGCATCAATCGTTGATTTAAATGAATCTCAGTTAAATTAATGAAATGTTTTTCCAATAAGAAATTAAGGAATGACCAAAAATCAGTAATTCCCAACTTATTCATAAGTTTCAATACACAAGTGCATATAGAAACCAAACTGCAATGTTTTCCAACATAAAAAAAAAATACTGCAGGCAGAGAATTACCATAATTTCTGGCAAAGAATCCTAATATTTGATGTACAAGAATGACAACTACTTCAATATT